GGATTTCTTATAACGCAACAGGGTTTTTTTTTTCGTTGTATGGGGGGCAGGAAAGTGGGAATGGTGTTAATGCATGAAGATTTTTTTCACACTAGGGGGTATTTTCACCCATGTAGGTTTCGTTGTAGAGGAGTTTCACTGTATAAAAAAAACATGGAGACAACTAGGTTTACAATTGAGAACAAAATGTTTTTTGTTTTTGGGTTTTTTTTTTGGGGGGGGGGGATGCTGCATTATTCTTAGTCAGCCATATCCCCAAACGCAACACACATCACTTTTGATGTGTGGCACAATAAAAAAAAAGCTGAAGACCTTTTAAAAGGAACACCTTTGGGAGATTTTGTTGGTGAGGGCAACAATGTGATATTCTCACAAAAAGAGGCCGCTTGTGGCAAGGTACTCAGGTGATCCTCATCTCTCTGCAGATGACACCCGCCCCGAGGTCAGAGCTTTATATGAATAGGGGCCCGCATCACAAGACTGCATGTTTACAAGCAACACGCACGAACTGAATTCCCGAGTGTCCATCCAGCACAACTTTCAAGATTTAATACCTGACCCACTCATTACTTGAAAACGAATGGATGATTGCCTTAAGAGAAAAATACGGTCGTGTTCCACTTTTAGTCTTTCAGATGCCGAATTCATGATTCATTAACTTGCAATATCTAGCACACCAGAATGGATCGGATGAAAGTGAATACATTGGTACCTTGATTTAACGAACTAATTGCGGAATCTGTCGTCCGCTAGAGCAGATTGTATATTAAATTGAAGTACTTTTTAAAAAAAAAAAAAAATTATTGGAATTCTTGCCCGATCATGTGATTTTCAGCTGATCATGGACAAGGGCAAAAATATCATTTTTCTTCATTTTCTGAAATCTTATAGGTCATAAAGTAACCATATAATCCAGAGCTATAAATATCCTGTCAAATGGAGCAGTAATATCTTAATTGTATACTACACAATGTTACATTTAGTTTATTTTGGGGGGGTAGCGGTCAGAGTGGCAGTGGAGCTACACACCCACGCACACACAGAGGCCCATCTGGGGATTTACAGCTGGTCTCCCTCCATGCTGGAGCAGTATTAAATTGGCGCAAAGACGACACACCAACAATGTGAAACCACTCAGGATAAGCCAAAAGATGCAGTACCTCTAAAATAGCCTAAAACCTTCTTGCCTGCTCTGAAGTTGCCTCACTGAACGGCCTAAGAGTTGAGAGTTGAGTTGAACCCGCAAAAATCACAAGTGCCCTTGGTTGTCTGTTGATTGCTATTATATTTGTTTATATTTATATATTTATGCATGTCTTTTTTTATGCAGTTCAGTTTTACTCCCCATATTTTTAGCTGCGTGTGTTTTCAATGCACTGCATGTTTGCACTGTGGTTGAGAGGGAAGAAATTTCATCTGTGCTGTACGTTGTACATAGAGCATATTTGACAATAAAGCTGACTTGACTTGACTTGAGAGTGACAGGCAGGTTAGCAATTGTGACTCCTTCAAACGACGTCAGCTACTAGCTTTGCAGTTAGCAAACGTGGCAGGAGTTGAATTGCTGTATATACTTTATAATATGTCTCACTTTTCAAATACTGTACACCACATTGTGATTGTGAACGCCACGTTCAGTCTCTTGTCATATTGATCAGTGCCGAAGAACCAATGAGGATGACGTCGGACATGTCACACTATGCAGAAAAAAAAGAAGAAAAATTCTCACATGCCAGACTTTCGTCATTGTGGTCGTGAAGTGCCCTGGACGCCACACGACCAATCGTCGAGTATGTCACACTATCCGGGCTACGATTTGTCAAGGCAACTGAACCTCGGTTACAAGACATTATGACACGTCCGTCAGCTCAAAATCAGGCTACATTCCTGTCGTCTGACGTTGGCAGAAGTTAGCTCTGTGGACCTAAGCTAGCGAGGTTAGCTCGACAATTTAGCTCATCTATTGCTGGTCAAATACTTCATGTCGGTTCTGCATTTAATTGAGAAGCCAATAAATAAAGCAAAAGATTAGACACCATGTCGACTGTTAGCTTGAAACTATTTAAGCAGAGACATCGATACATAGTCAAACAGAGTACTGCATTCATAAATAGTCACGATACATAGAATACTTTGGTGTTTGTGAGTGTCTCTGCCATATTTGATGTGGCAGCGCCCCCGTGAAGTAAGGCACTTAAAATTCAAAAGTGACAATTTACATCTTGCATTAAGTCAATCCCTTTCATTCATCCAGTCACACACACAAATTAGATATGGGTAAAAGATTGGCACCAGAAGCAACCCACATTCAGCCGAGTTTAGAATGTATCACCACATTAACAGTGTTCCACTCATGTGCCACTCACAGTCACTCACACATGCAAATCCACATCAGACACGAACACAAGGCCTCGCTGTGTGGCTGGGTTTCTTTGACAACGGAACCGGCATCATCCACCTGTTGTGGCGGCAGATGAGATGACATTGATCACAGAAAGCAGGTGCTGCGCAGCCCGTTTTCTCACGCCTAATCACGCACAAGCAAAGGCTTTCTCTTTGCCTTTGGTTACCCAACTATTTTTCACAGTGGTTGAGCAATATGCCTTCGAAAGCCAGAACCATGCCACTGCTTAATCATTTGTACAACTAAAGTCACAGGAGCAAAATACTGTCCCATTGAGGGAATTTCGAGAGTGGCCTGAAAGTATTAAAGCTGTTTTTTTTTAATTGCTAAGTGCTTGCTCACCACATATAAAAAGTGAACTAACCATCCATGCACATCCATCCATCCATCCATCCATCCATTTTCTACCGCTTATCTGGGGTCGGGTCGTGGGGTAAATAGCTTTAGCAGGGAAGCCCAGACTTCTCTCTCCCCAGCCACTTGTTCCAGCTCTTCCCAGGGGATCCCGAGGCGTTCCCACGTCAACTGGGAGACATAATCTCTCCAGCGTGTCCTGGGTCGTGCCCGGGACTTCCTGCCAGTGGGACATGCCCGGAACACCTCACCAGGGAGGCATCCAGGAGGCATCCTAATCAGATGCCCGAGC